TGGCTGAAGTGCACTGAAAAGGCCCTGGAGGATGAAATATTATGTAATGGACCCATAGATTTTCATGAATCCTTAGCCAAGTTCAAGATGATAATGTAAAAGTTATTTTCATTTGTGTTGTAATTTTGCTGGCTGCACTGTTGTAGAACTGTTGTAAAACTTAACAAAACATGAACAGAGCCACTTCTCAAGTCCCTTTGTTCTCTGGGCAAACTACTTAAACCAGTCATCAGGGTGGCTAATGTTGTTGTTAGTTGCAAAGTCGTGTCCAACCCATCGCGACCCCATGGACAACATTCCTCCAGGCCTTCCTGTCCTCTACCATTCCCTGGAGTCCACTTAAGCTCATGCCGACTGCTTCGATGACTCCATCTAGCCATCTCATCCTCTGCCATCCCCTTCCTCTTTTGCCATTCCCAGCATTAGACTCTTCTCCAGGGAGTCCCTCCTTCTCATTAGGTGACCAAAGTATTGAGTTTCATCTTCAGTATCTGGTTTCTAAAGAGCAGTCAGGGTTGATCTCCTCTAGGACTGACTCTAACTCATCAGTTTCTCCACCAGGATATCATGGGGCACTTCATCAAAGGCCTTGCTGAAATCCAGGTAAACCACATCCACTGCATCCCCTCCATCTAGCCATCTCAAAACCTTGTCGTAGAATCCCACAAGGTTTGTCTGGCAGGACCTGTTTTTGCAGAAGCCATGTTGTGTGGCTGTCAGCCTCCCTTCCCTATCTAGCATCACTAGATCTCTTGCTATTATGAGCTTTTCCATAGTTGTTCCTACAATGGACATAAGGCTAACTAGTCTGTAATTCCCCATGTCCCTTCTACTACCCTTTTTGAAGAACAAAAGACAGAGAATGTTTCTTTTAGCCTCCTGAGAGTACTGAAGAATATTAAAAATCGCATTAGCATAACTGTGCCTAAATAAAAATGTAGTTGCTGTGAAAGTGTTTTGGAGTGGGGACTTGCTGTTGCTGCATGTCCCTCATAACAAAAAAGTAGAGAGTAATTCAGTATAGGAAAATTGGCTAGTTTATATTTTCCCTTTAAGGATGGTTTTAAACTGGGCAGGAGGGAGGACTGAGCCTTGGAGTCACATCACATGACTAGCCCCAGCCATGGTTCTTCCCATCCCTCTTTGTTGTATTCTTGCCAAGGAGTGCTGGGAAGTGAAATTGGCAAGGATCTTTGTCTAGTCTAGATTGTAAATGACAACTGCAGGGTTAGTCAATGCACTCTGGTTATCTGCCCATTCAAAGCACATTTTTTGTGACATTGTGCATGTGCTGTAGTAGTTGCTGTGTTGGATTTCCACATCTTGTGGCATTGCTTCATACCCGCTCTAGATGCTGGAGAACTGCAACTGTTTCTCACTTTTTGTTTTCTGGTGTTATATGGCAGATAGCACAGAGCTTTTAGAGGATAAATGATTTCAAAGGACTGAAACTGGAGAGAAGTTGCACTGCTTATCATTAATGGTATTGTATAGTCAGTATTTAGTAGGAGTCTCTGCCACATCCTGCATGCTGTATTTGGAACAGCAATGGAAGCACTAGCTTGGTAATGTTGGGGTAGAGACTCTAATTTGTCCAGTGGTGAAATAGTAGTGCTTGAAAAGTTATGATCTCTCTGGAATTATACAACCTGGAGGGTATGCCAAGTTTGACTTACACATGATTATCTGTGTTTATTGTACAAGCAAATTATTGTGTGGTATTGTCCCTGCCTTAAAATCAAATGCTACTCCATTTGCTAACTTGGATTTAATACAGGTTTAGAAAGCATGGCCTGTATGTTGTTTTTAGATCAATGCCATGGAGGCCCAGGTTCAAATCTCCTCAGTCATGTAGTTGACTGGGTGGCCTTGGTCTAGTCACTAACTCTCAGCCTAACCTATCTTGCAGCTTCATTATGATGCCTGTGTGTGTCTGTGTGTGTGCATCTGAAAGCCTTGTAGCCTCCCTGCATTTTTTGAAGAAAGGGTGGCATACCATTCATACCATCTGTGCAGGAGGTCCCCCCTCCTTCCACTCCCAAGAACATTCCAAGAACATTAAAATTTCTACTTTTGAGGACTATTTGTTCTTTTTCCTTCCAGCATGCAGATGTGAAAAATTTAAGGGGATTACGCATCTAATCCTCTTCTAAACAACCTTATAGATAGATTTCCATCAACATAGCTGTTGCATGGATGTTTTATATATGGCCATAAATCTCTTGCATGATAAAGTATGACAAATCTTCATGGTCCATTACTGCTTTTGCTTTTTTCTTGAGCACCTGAAAAATGAAAACTGAGAGATCTTACAGTCTGGATTACTGAAGATCTTCCACCCCATTGTGTTCTTATGCTAAATGGCACTCTCACCCCTTTCCTTCCTTCCTTTCACCTTACCTATTTGTGAGCTCTCTCATACTTCTTTCCTCATTCCTTGCTTCCTGGCAGCAAACCAACCCAGCAGGCTTATTCTGCTTGTGTCGCAAAGGGAGCTCCCATCTAAGCCACCATCAAGAATGCTGTGCATTGAATTCAGTCTTGCTTCCTCCCCTTTTGGAGAAGTTTCAACATTTAACGGCTGCTTGTAGGAGTCTGCAGCCAGGGCATGTGTTGTCATAGGAACAAGCCACATGCTTCCTTCCTGCACAGGAAGGGGACCTGGTCATAGCACAGACACCAGCTATTTTAAGTGTTGTGCAGTCGAGAAATTGCATGGTATTTGCAGCTGGATCCATCGGCATAATTTTTTCTTTTTAATGTTATGTTGTAAGTTCCATTCAGGTATTTTCCTTCATTGCTTTTCCTTCTAAATGTCAGTGGTAGCCTGTCCTTAACTGATAGAAATTCCTGTTAGTTGCTGCTTAGCATATTTATTGATTTTGATTTGTATTGATTAAGGCTGGTGTAGATTGTAATAGCTGTTGTTCACGAAAGGAGTTGCATGCAGTGGGTGGTACCTGAAGGGTTGCTTGTCTCTGTTAGTACAGCTTGAAGAGGTTTCTTATCCAGAGGCAGCTGCAGACAGTGTTTGCTGGTTAGCGCTTGAGCTGTGTGAAACATTTTGTTAACTCAATGATGATGTGGCTACGTGTGCAGAGAAGAGATTTTTCTGCTGAAATGGTTCCAACCTGGTATTCTGGCATCCATGTAAAACCATTTTGGATGCAGTTACAAGCATTAACCCCAGACCCTGTTGCAGTGGGTGCAGGAAGATCCCGGAGCTGGCAGCTGCCGGCTGAATCCCCACGTATGCTTGTCATCAGGGTCGCCAGCCAGGAACATCCAGTAGTGGGCAGATGGGATTGCTGTGCAGTGCTTGCAGTGCAGCACAGGGCTGGCTTGTGCCGCACCAGCATGTTGTTGCTTCAAGTAAGCATAGTGCTGGATTTAGAAAGCTCAGAACCATCCACAAGTAGCAAGGAGGTATTTCAGGTTCCCCTAACAGGAATGTATAGAAACCATAAACCATGACAAGCATGCTGGATTCTCTTATGCTGTTGCTAGTGCCTGTGGCTTCTTCTGCCTAAGGAGAAGAGGTGGCGATGGGAGGGAGTGGGCAGGAGCCCTTTGCTACCAGCATGTTTCTGGGCACAATTCACAGTGCTGGTTATGACATATAAAGTCTCGTATGCCTTGGAACCAAGCTACCTGAATGAGTTCCTTCAGCCATATGAGCCTGCTCAGGTTTTAAGATCTTTGAACAAGGCCCTTCTCGAGGTTCGTTTGGTGGGAACACAGGAGAAGGCCTTCTTGGTGGCTGCTCCCAGCCTTTGAATTCCTTCTGAGGAAGGTAAGGTTGGTTCCTTCTTTGATGTCCTTCAACCAGCAAGCAAAGGTGTTCTAATTCATGCAGGCATTTGGCACATGAGCCGGTCTGTTAGGTTGTGTGTGTTTATTCTTTTTTTGTGTGTGTTTTAAAATTCTGTTTTTAATATATTTGCTTTATGGTAGTTTAAGACTTTATTTTAAATTTTGGTTTCTATTCTAGTGAGCTATTTTGCACTCCGTTTCTTTGGGAGAGGTAGGCTATAAGAGTGATCTTATGGTCCCAGAAGAACATTCTAGAAGTTACGGTTTTTCAGAGTTGCTCTCATCATTCAGACACTGTTATGAAGGGCCACTCTGGTATCTGATCCTCTCCCCTGCCTCTGCGGAAAGAGTGGTGCTATCTTGGAGAGATCAGAAGGAGAAGGGGAGAGACCAGCATATGAGGAATCCTATGGTCTCCAGCCCATAATGCCCCCACTAGTGTGCCCTTTCAAGCTGGGCTCTGAAGCCCATCTGGATGGAAAAAACAAAACACAGAGGGCACAGAGGTAAAAAATTGCCTCTGTTCCTTCCCCCAACCTTTGTCAGCAGTAGCTGAGCAAGGAACTGGCACATGGAAGCCTCTGTGCCCAATGCATAGGATTTGCCCAAATCAGATAAATGGACATTTGCTGAAATCTTGGCTCACTGTTAGCAGGAGCTGGGCTAGATGATTACCATGGGTATATGCTTGCATTTTACAACTTTTAATGTTTACTGCCAAGAGCACCCAGTGTGGGTAGGTCTGGTGGCATACATTTTTTTTAAAAAAATATGTAAATGCATCTATAGTTGCTAATCATGGTATTAAATACATTCAAAGGAGGCAGGAATATCAGCAGCTATGGAAATGGGTAGAACAGGCATCCTCAGTGGCTTAGAGTTAGAAGTGATTGGCAGGGACTAGAGTGCCATAATTTTTTATTGATTTATTTATAATGTATTTTATATAAGTTCAAGGACTGGAAAATGATGGCACAGAAATACTGAGATAGGCAGTCCTTTTTTGGTTTGACAGCATGAAAAACTGGCAGGTGCTGTTATTGCTTTTCCTGTCAACATGACTACAACTCAGCCATTACATAGCTGAACTACACGGAACCTTCCAGTTAAACATAATTGTTACTTGTGCTTGTAAAGGTATGTAAGTGGATGTATATGTAACCACATAATTGTTTTACTTACAGCAGAAGCCTGGTTAAAGACTTAGGAGCTCCATCAACATCTGACTTTTACGCTAATTGGCAACTTCTGCTTCCGAGGCTAGCAGGCAGCCATGACTGAGAAAGATCCAGAGGTGCATGTGGAAGATGATGACGATGAGCTAGATAGCAAACTGAACTACAAGCCCCCACCTCAGAAGACACTGCAGGAACTGCAGGAGTTGGACAAGGATGATGAGAGCCTTGCAAAGTACAAAAAGTCTCTGTTGGGGGATGGCCCCGTGGTGGCAGGTATGGCTTAAAGCTATGATGGGAAAGGGGCCCTGGCACTGTTGAGAGGTGCTAGGGCTGGAGGTGTGTTCCATATGTGTATTACAGATTTTCAGGTACTGTTTGTTCCATCATCTATAGAACTGGATTTTGTGCAAATGCACACTTCCAAAAATGTGCAAATCTTCTCCAAATGTGCATTTGCTTGCTTTCATCTGTGGGGAGAACTGTGACTGTGCATGTTTGGTCAGTGTTTTTTTTTTTTTCGTGTTATTCTACACGATTTGTGTAAAATTAGGAAAAGTTAAAAAAAAGCATTTGCAAGTTCATGGATTTCATGTGACTTGGGAAAAAGTGGTCATCTGCAGAATCTACATATGGGATTCATAGAAATCCTACCTCATTTCAGTCCATTGCAGAGTTTTCCAACATCCCTATATGGTGCCCTCCTGATGTTTTGAATCACAACTCTAATCAGCCCCAGCCAGCAGGGCTGATGGCCCAGGATTATGGGAGTGGTGTCCAGAACATCTGGGGAGCATCACATTGGCAAAGGCTGATGTAGAGGGACTAGTATTGTTTCAGATGGTAAGTGTCCAGAAATAACCTCTGAAACAGAGGAAGTAGAAATGTGTTGGCAAATTTAATTGATCTGGGTAAGTTTGAGATGACAAAAAGACAGCTTCAATTAGATTGTATTTAGGAAGTAATATGGATGTTACTTTCATTCTCCCAGTCTCCCCTGCCTCTTGTCTCCCTTTGACAAATAACCTTTATGTTGCTTGGCATTGGAGCCCTTGCTTAACCCATGAATTTTTAAAAAACTGCAGTTAAAAGGATCCTACTCTGCAATGGCTGAGGGAGGCTTCTCCACATCCTGAAGGGAAACTGCAAGTCAGGTCACTAGCTTTAATAGGGCTGTTTCATAGTGCATAGAAGATTAAACTAAGGCATATATGTGCTTTTGGTGCTGCAGTTCTAGCAGCCACATCAGCTTCCCCCAACCTGGCACCATGTAGATGTGTTGGACTAAAACTCCTAGCAGGATGCCGAGAGTTGTAGTCCAACACATCTTTAGGGTGCCAGGTTTGGTGAAGCTGCCCTACACAATGGTCTGTAACACAAGTGTACAAAATTATGCATGGTGAGAAAGTGGAGAGGAAGATATATTTCTCCCTCTCCCATAATACTGGAACTCAAACTCATCTCAAGAAGCTTGACTGGTGGGAGATTCAGGACAGTTGACAGAGGATTTACCTCACACTTCTACAAGATGTAGTGATGGCACTTTGGAGAGTTTTAAAGAAAGACTGTATAAGACTGTCAATGGCTACCATTCCTGGTGGCTGCATGCTACCTCCAGTATCAGAGAGGCAGTATACCTGTGTGCACCAGCTGCAGGGGAACTTGGATAGGAGGATGCTGTTGCACTGATATCCTCCTTGTGGTTTTCCCTGGACACAGCTTGTTGGTCACTTTGTGCGCAGAATGGTGGACTAGATGGACCCTTGCTGGTCTAATTCATATTAGCTCTTTCCATATGCTTTTTTATCCATGAAAACTGAAGACTTCTAAGAAGCACTTAGGCACAGGTTGCAACATTCACTGCTCTTGGTTGGGGCATTCAGGATTCAGGTTGGAAGTACTTGTGGTGAGTGCACGCTTGAATTATTTCCCACAAAGATGGTCTCCATGCATGTAGAAAATGTAGGGAGATGACTGTGTGTGTGCCAGGAAGCTTTCATGAGAGAACATTTAAGAATGCAGTCCTCTCTTTGCAGCCTGAAGGGAAGCAATCCAGAAATTGCTTCCCTGCTTGATTCTAGAAACTGCTCCTCAGTCCTGTACGCCTTCTGCTGGTTATATTTCTGAGCCAACATGCTTAGAATAATGCAGTCTTGGCTTTTTTCTGTGGAAGGACTTGGCTGCTGATGGGTAATATTTGAAATTCTGTATTTAGGAACGTAGTGAGTTGATCCTTATCACCTGGTCTCTTGGAAAGCAAGGCAGTGCTTTCTTCAAGGAGCTGATGCTACAGGAGTCTTTGAGTAGTGAAGGTGTGAGAGCTATTTGGTTAACAAACTGAACATCTCTTCTTCCTTTCCTCCCTCCACAGATCCAACAGTTCCCAATGTGACTGTCACTCGGCTCACCCTGGTATGTGATACTGCTCCAGGGCCAATCACCATGGATCTCACTGGTAAGCGACATTCTTTTCCTTTCACTGCATATGGGGTTGGTGAAGAGTTCAACTGAAGAGGGAAGGCCTGGACCTGGTTTCTTGTTTGAATTTTGTCCTGTGTATAGTGAGACTAATCCCCAGGGTAGCCTTTCCCAAGCAGAGCTGTCTAGTTGGGTTGGAGTGCAGCTCCCATTTTGCCTAGCCAGCATGGCCCAGCAATGCTTAATATATGTAAATGTTATCTCAAATGTTCAGGGTGCTTCATATATGTTACGTGTGCAAGAGCTCTGCAAGATGGGCTGATCTAAGTGTCCAGTGGGGTTGTTCTTATGTACCAATTAGGATAAGACCAAAGGTCTGGAAGATTTTTTTTTAATCAGTCCTGCATTTCTAAGTTGGCCTATCACATGCCTCCCAAAAGCCCAACAAGCGAAGTATGAATGCGATACTCCTTCCCAGCTGGTATCTAGTCAGCCTATTGCTGGAGGTTACGTTCCATGTAACTTGCCATGATTAGTTGACACTGATACATGTATCCTCTAAATTTGTCCAGTTATCTTCAGCTTGTGGGCATCACTCCATTTTGTTGTAGCAAATTCAATAATGAATACTTTACTCTGTTCACCTCAGATCTACTGCCAGTCAGTTTCATTATGTGGCCCCAAGTTCCACTGATCATGAAAGAAAGACAAAAACGTTCTTTCCATTCGCTCACCCTTCAGCACATGAAACCGTGTGTCTACCATTTCTGCCCTTAATGCTCTCTCACACCCTTGAACAATAATTTAAAAATGCTTAGACTTTTAAGCTTTGCCTTACAGGGAAAGTACTGTAATCCTCTGCCCATTTTGCTTGCCCTTTTCTACACCAGTGACAACATTTTGTTGAAGTGACAATGAATTGCTGGAGCTATTTAAGCAGAGGTGAAGCAGCTACCTGTCAGTGTGGTGTAACTGCATCCTTCATGGAAAATATTGCATTGAGTTGGCAGTTGCACAGATGACCTCAAGGTCCCTTCCAGCTCTAAAATCCATGTCAGTAGAAGGTTGCAGCCATGTTTTCTAAAGCCTCATGATTTAGAATTGTGAAGTGTCTGCTTGCCCTGGCTGAGTCTTACCCAAGCTGCTGCCCACCTAAGATGTTGAAGAAGATGATGGAAGATGTAATCCTACACATCTGAAGGGCACCAGGGTGAAGAAGACTGTTGTTGCCGCTTCCTTTTGGCACAGCACTGAAGCAATAGTCCTTTTTGCAGGTTTAAGCAGTGTTCTGTGTTCCTGTAAGTTCAGCAACCAACAAGAAAGAGTCACGCTTCTCCTTATATGGGCCTTTATTTGATGAGAAAGGAAGTCAGGGCTTAGCCGAATTCAGATGCTTCCTCTTCAGCTGAAATCTGTGGGGGAGGTCAGACCACAAACGGCTTTTTTGATTGTAACACACTAAAACATAATGCATGTTGCATCTACATGTTAGTCCCCTTCTCCTAACCTAGTAACAGGTGCTTTTACATGCCTCCCACTCATTTCAATGGAGGTTGCACAAGTGGGTTGTGCCCATTGCTTCTGTATTCACTGGAATGAAACAAATGTGCCCCTATGCATGAATATTTATGGTTCAGCAGTGCACGCACTTTCTGATCTGCATGCTCATTTGAATCCATGCGGCATCCATGCACACAGGCAGGGTAAGGCATATCTAAACTGCAGGCTTACAAAAGTAGTTTAATAGTGGCATTATTTCCTCAGACAACTGCACTCTGATTCAGTGAAGGGGCAGGGCAGAGTGGGGATTTCTCAATTTCTTCCTGAGAAATCCTGTGGATATCCTGAGATAGCTCAACATCTTTTCAGACTATTTCCAGGATTTGTTGGCAGAATTACAGTTTTTATTTAATTAAAGCTTATTAATTTAAGCTTAATCATTTAATTTAATTTAATTATTTAATTAATGCCACCCTGCATCAAAATGGAATCCAGTTATGCAGGAATAAAATTGAGCTGTATTTGCAGTACAGATAAACTGACATGTGCTTGTTCATGCTCAGTCCACCAGTGTCTTACAGTCAGAGGAGTCAATGGGGTAAGAGGTGTTTTCTTCTGTCTGCCTTAAGAAGAAGGTCACCTGAAACTTTTCCCCATGCTTTAGGTGATCTTGATGCTCTCAAGAAAGAGACCTTTTCATTAAAGGAAGGCGCTGAATACAGAGTCAAGATCCACTTCAAAGTGAGTTACTTTTCTGTTGGTATCTTCCATGGCAGTCCAGGGCTGGATTCTGTCCTCTGATGAATGTTTTACTGAAGTCTGGTCCAGTGTTAATTAGCTCATTGTTGGCTTGACTATGTTGTATCTGACTAAGATGGGTTTCTCTGCATGAGGCATGCAACCTAGCATTTTACTGAGGCTTCTTTTGTTTCCTTTGAGAGAGGATTAGGGTGCCTTTTATATGAGTTTTTCCCCCAGGGGTTTACCGCTGGGATCCCCATGGTTTTTTTTTTTCCAGAGGGGTATATGCAGACATGAATGGATATGCCCCTAGGGAAAAAAGCAGGGGGAACTCTATCAAAAGGGGTGGGGGCAGAACAAATCTTAAAGAACACGGGTTCAGAGTAGCTTGTTGGAAAAATCCTGTCTGGGTCTGGATGACACAACGGTCAACCATGGCTTGCTCCCTGTGGTGCGTTGTTCTGCTGTAAGAACCAGATCAATGTCTGATTGTGCTGGATGAAGGCACTCCAGGTCAGTTGCTGCTTATATCAACTTCAGCTTTGCACTGACCCTTAAAAGACATCTAATATAGAGAAAGTGGAAGGTTCCTTCCTTTGTGTGAATGCAGTAGGAGAACCTAGCTGAAACATTAGTTTATATATTATAGCTGCCATTACAGAGGCCATCATAGAGTGAAATCTATGGTCCTGTGTGGATGTAGCAGCTTGGGGGCAAGCGGCTTTTACAGTCTCTCCAGCCTCCAAAAATGGAGTGTGAGAGAAGTGGCATGAATAGGATGGAACTGAGGGAGGAAACAAGGAACAGGGGAAAGTACAGGAAAGAACTGCAACCAAAACTTGAATTGAATAACCTCAGCAGGCTGTGCTTTGCTCTTGCAGGTAAATAAGGAAATTGTATCGGGCTTGAAATATGTGCAGCACACTTATCGGGCAGGAGTGAAAGGTAAATGAATTATTGTTCTTCTCCTTCAGCAAAGTTCCTTCCAATTCTTTCCTTGCAGATGACAATTCTGTAGTTCTTTGTCCTCTTTCCTTCTAATACTGCCTCCTCAATCTCTTGCTCACCTAACACAAACGTTTGGAGGAATAATTAAAAAAAACAACCTACCGAGGTCTTTACAGAACCTCTTGTTCCTTTCCACATATGGAACCCATGAGTTGTTAGTGGTTTCTCTGCTAGGCTTTTAATAAAGGGCACAAGTGAATTGAGATCCATTCAGCTTGCCCTCTGCTCTGAATAGCCAGGCGTTTTTGTTTTGTTTTGCTATGTTGCTCTGCAGAGTGGCAAATTTTTTCATTCTTCAGTTTCCTGCAGTCCTGTTCACACACCATGCCTGCTGCAATTTTTAAGTCAGCTGGTATTACTCTCAGCAGCAGCAGACCATGTTGTGCTCTCCTGCAGCCTAATCTAATGTGTGCCTCAACAAACTGTATTGAATGAAGGCTAGCAAAACTATGCTGAAGGGCCATCTGGCCTGTGTGTGGCTGAAGCAGTCAGCATGCAGTCACTGCACGCAGACTGATATGGCACCAAGTCAAAACTGTAGCTGCCACAGACAGAATAGTTACACTTTCTATACCAAATCACAAACCAGCACACAGTCACAAGCCAAAACCTGCCCAAAAAATTGAGAAAAACAAGCAGATGTAAAAGGTGTGCACAGAAATGCATTTATTTAAGGGAAAATAGTCACAACACTGATTTATCCAATGGGAAAGAAATGCATACCTTTCAAAATGGTGAACAGGAAGTGCACACTGTTGGAAATAGGATGGAACAAATTTAAGTGTGGATATTGGACAACCTGGTCAGATTTCATGGAAGTGGTCATGCTTGCTTGAGTCTGAGTGATTGCATGATTGTCTCTTGTGGTTTGCATGTGTATTCTGTCCTGTTGTGTCCCAGCTCTGATTACTTCCCCTGTTACACACTCTTTTCTTGTGCGTGTTCTCTCCTAGTGGACAAAGCTACATTCATGGTGGGCAGCTATGGGCCACGACCAGAAGAATATGAATTCATGACACCTCTTGAGGAGGCACCCAAAGGCATGATGGCTCGAGGAAACTACCGCAACAAGTCCTTCTTTACTGATGACGACAAGCATGACCATCTCACTTGGGAGTGGAATTTGGCCATTAAGAAGGAGTGGACAGATTGAGTTCCACCTAATTTCCTTCTCTTTACTTTCTCCTGCCACTTGCGCTGTATTTCAGGCGTGCCAGTCTCTGGCACCTGCATGCCATGCTTCTTCCACACAACCCACCTGGCCATTTATTGTCACAAGAAATTCTGTTAACACAGGCCTTTGGACAGACTCTGTCTCTCCTGGTGCTACACTGAAATACAATCACAAGGAATTAAAATGGGACACACCATCTCTCTGCTTGCACAGGATCAGTCCTTGAAGTGCCTTTGCTAGGATGATGCTAACTCAACCCTGTTACTATCGGGGCAGATAGGTTGTCCGCACCTAAAGGTATATAGCTATTATCCTTTTCTCCTTGGAGCCTGCATTCACTGAAAACATCTTTGCCTATGAGTGGATTCTATTTCATTTAAACTTTGGGGGGATGTAATTCCCAAAACTGCATTTGGAAACCTTGCCTTTAACAGTAACAGGAGATGCAGTACCTGCCCTGGCCTGTAAAGATTTCAGTGTCTTTGAAAATAAAGCCAGTCTTGTCCTTAGCTTCTGCGTGAGCCTTCCATGTTTCTTCAGTACAGTGACTTGTTCTGTCCTTGGTACCTGCAGAGGATCAAGCTGATGCAGATCTTCAGTAAGTGGCAAAAACTGATCCAAACACTTTATTTCACATATAAGTTGTTAACCTGTCCAAGCGGAAATCAACATTTAGTGATTGGGTGAAGGGAGATAGCTTTCCTCTGGGCAATATTGTGTACTTCCAGGCTTCTTACCTTGAAATGTTAAACCTTTATGGCATAACATATACTGAGTGCTTAGACTCTGAATGGGGCTTATAGTTAGGTGAGCAAAAGGTAGGTCCTTGGGTGACATAAAGTAGTCTGGTAGATATTTCTGATATCAAATTCTAAAGTAATTTTAACTAAGTTACGTCCCCCCCACCCCACCACACACATGCAAATATGATGCCACTGAAATTACAAAAGCCTGGAACAACTAGGAGTAGGTTTTTGTTTGGAAGGACTGTGTTCTGTTCAGTTTCAGTTTTGTATAGGAAACTATTTCCAGGACTCAGAATTCTCTAATTGCAAGTCATGCCTTTCTACAGCTCTGGTTGTTGGATCTTGGGGTAGGAAAAGGAATCAGAGTTTATCTCAGAAGCCTGAAGTCTGATTGTCACAGTTTTGTATAGAACTTAGATGTGACACTGCCCTTGCCCAGAGTGCATGCAGTTTATTAAACAGGCAGGACAGTGTTGGAGTGGCAAGATAATGTAGAAGAAGTAAGGCTGGAAGTATAGTCAAGGTGGTGATGAACTGGTTCTAAGGATATTAGTCTGTTCTGATCCAGTGGGTGGGGGTTGATGCTCCTATAGAATGTATCATCTTAACTGGACAATAGGCGAAAACACATATTTAGGCAGTTGTTTCTTTAAAAGTGGATGTATGAAATCTCTCTACGTAATGTGCAATTAGATCTTTAGTTCTTTATGTGAGGCATTTTTACCTAGCTCTTCAGCCAAAAGAGCTCCCTGAGTGGCTTACAGAAATCAGTACAGAAACCCCTGACTTCAGGCTTATAATGTATAAGGTATGACACCAGAAAAACAAAAACAAACCCAACCTGTGAGGGACGGGTGGGCTGGAGCGAAGCAAACACTCTCTAGTGCTTAATTACAAAATTGGAGCATAAGTCATAAGAAAAAGCATGCTGGGTCAGACCAGTGGTCCATCCACTATAGCATTCCATTTGCACCAGGGCAAGCCAGCTGCTCACTGGCTCCCTCAAGCAGGATGGGTACAAGAGTGCTACCTGCTCTGGTATACGCAGCATGCTGCCTCTGATAATGGAGGTAGAACTTAGCCAGCAAGGCTAATAGTGATTGATAGCCTTCTTTATACAGTTGCCATTCCCGTTTAAAGCCATCCAAATAGGTGCCCATCACTGCCCATTTCTGGGGGCAGTGAATTTCATAATTTATGTGCTGTATGAAGAGAACTTTCTTTTGTCTGTCCTGAATCTCCCACCACTTACCTTCTTGGGATGGTCCAAGGTTCTGGTATTATGGAAGAAAGAGAAAAATGTCTCCCTCCTTGCTTTCTCCATACCGTGCATAATTCTAAACACCTTCTATCATGGCTCCCCTTATTTGTCCTTTTCCAAGCTAAACAATCCCAGTTGCTCTAGCTTCCTCACAGGGGAATTTCTCCAACCCCTTGATCATTTTAGTTGCCCTTCTGTGCACTATTGCCAACTCAATAATCCCCCTTTTTAGGTACAACAACTAGAACTGTGTGGTTGCTCCAAAAATTTGTATAAGGGGAGTACAATCTTGGCCTTTTTTATTTTCAGTTCCTTCCTAATTATGCCTAACATGGAGCTTGCCTTTTGCATAGCAGCTGCACATTGGGTCTTTTTCATTGAGCTGCCAACCACCACCCCAGTATCTCTCTCTTCATCAGTCACTGCTAGCTCAGATCCCATCAGCCTATACTAGAAGTTGAGGCATTTTGTTCCCACATGCATTACATTACACTTGCTTTTACTGCACTGCATTGGTCAATTTGATGCCAATTCTTTCAGCTTGAAGAGATCCCTTTGGAGCACTTTATGATTCCTTTTGGTTTTAACAACCATAAATAGTTTGGTGTCTCAGCAAACCTGGCCACTTCACTGCTTATTTTATGAATAGGTTGAAATTCATTGGTCCTCATTCAGAATCCTGTGGAACCCCAAAAGCCCTTTGGAAGTCTGAGCAAACATTGTCTACCGATTTTCACTTGTTCTCATGCTTGGATATATGAATAGGGGTAATTAGAGTTCTATGACACTTCCAAAGAATTGTAAAAGGTTAGTGAGACATGCCTCACATTTGCAAAAGCCATATTGATTCTTTTTCAGTAGAGCTTGTCCCTCTCTGTGGTTACTGATTCTATCATTAAAAATGCTTTCAATTACTTTATTCAGAATAGATGTTAAACTAACCCTTTCTCTAGATCCCCTCAGATCCATTTTTAAGAATTGGTGTTGCATTTGCCATTCTCCAAACCTCTGGTACAAAGATTGATCTTAGGGGCATATTACATATTTTGGCAAGAAGCTTAGCCATTTCATATATGAGCTCTGTAAGAACCCTAACATGGATACTATCTGGGCCTGGTGATTTATTCAGTTTCACTTTGTCAGTAAAGGTTGAGAATTTCATCTTTTGTCACTGCAATCTGCCTTAATTCCTCAAACTCACTTGCAGAATGCATAAATTCGGGAATAGGAATCTGCCCTGTCTTCTGAAATGAAGACAGAGGGAACAAAATCATTCAACTTCTCTTCAATCTCTTTAAGTACTCCTTTATATAATGTATATGATATAATTTATATAAACATATATAATTTATATTTAATATAACATTCTTATCGTGATCAGCTGAAATGAATAGTTCAAGGAGTGAAGGGCCTGAAATTGCTGGTGTGTTCACAGAGCTGATGGAATGGTCCGCTTCCCTTGTTTCTCTCTGCAGCCTGATGGGGCGGCTGCTGCCAGGGGACAGCTGATGGAAGGAGGAGCCTAATGAGCTGGCTTCTCTACAAAACTGATGCTGACCTTGCTTCCTTTCTCCCTCCTTTCCACCTGGTAATTGTCTTAGGCAGTGGGAATCACCACTGAGAAACAGATTCTGCTGGGAGAATCAGATTCTGGGCAGGTTCACATCAGTATATAGGGTTGTTTTTCTCTGGTTCAGTCCATAGATAGGGAAGTCATGCTAACAGTGGAGCAAATTTGGGCAGCCATGCATTTTAAACATCCAGATGCCATACCTAATTGTTATAGTGTTTTAAATATGTGTTATATTTGTAAACAATCACAAGCTGGCAATATACTGATCTTTTTATAACTACAGAATTAATTCACTGAATAAAGCTTCCATGGAAAATTGCCCATACTTTTTTTGTTCTCTCTTGTAGATGGAAATCATTACTATGGGACCACACACACACCACCTTATGTAAACCTGTAATCACAGAAAAGGGAGTGGCAAGGGGAATGGCAAGTTAGAGGAGAGGCTAAATAAAGTGACAAAAGAGATCCTCTAGAAAAATGGAATATTTTAGTGTGGAGGGGAGTAAGTTGACATTCCCAGGTTTGAATTCAGATGCAGGAAAAACCACATTGCTATAGTCCACTAAACAGTTGTTTGGCCAGATGCTGGGGTGGAGTATGGTTTGATTGGGAATCTGGTGATGCAGCAGGAGTGCAGGGTGTGCCACAGAGGCAAAGGACTCAGAGAGGGTCACAGAACCCTGGTGCGGGGGAGGGGTGCATGCAGTCCTCATGTTGCTACCCCTCTTTGAGGCATATTCACTTCCTTTCAGCGTTCTTTTCTTGTGTGAGGGAGAGGGAAGAACACCACTTCTGAGAACATGCCTATCTACATGGGATAATGCTTCTTTGAAAACAAAGCACATCCATGCCACACAGCAGGAGTCTTTTTCTTCATATATACACCTTTCATATTATTTATATAGATTTAATCCATACAGTTGATCCATTGAGATTTCTTTAACTGAATAAATGCTAGGAGAAAAGTGGTTTTGGTGGGAGCACTACCCAACCTAGAGTGCCCAGTAAAGAGAGATCAAGGAAAAACACAGAAAGGGTAGGGAGTCCCTCTTTCTTACCTAAATGGTGCTGTTTTTGTGCCATATTGATAGTGCTGAAAAAGAGGACTATTGCTGACGAAATGAAGAATCTATTCTATAAAAAGAAGAAAGAAACCACTGGGAGCTTTGGTCCCCACAAGTCCATTATCTCAGAAAGTACTGGAATGTTTTCCTATTCCCAGGTGTTTTGATCCCACAGCCTTAGAAGTTGTCACATCTGATTAAGTGATAGTTGTAGAAGTCAGTTTGAAAGCTCAAAGCAGGACGCTTAGCAAGGGGGAAAGCTACCAAAGCAATGTCAAACTCTATATCACAGGGTTTCCTTCTATTTCTTCTCTGCTGGGTGTTCTACCTGGGATATGCTGAGAAGAAGCCTACATCAGAAGGTAAGAGAGCAGTGTCCTGAATTTTCTAACAAAGAGGTGGTGAATGGTCCAGGAAACCATGTGGATCAGCAAATAGAGGAGGTCCAATCATTCTGACCCAACGTAGTGCCCTCTGGGCTTGTTGGATTAAATCTTTCATCATTCCTAGCCAATGGGGTTATCGACTGGAGATGATAGGAGTTGGAGTCAAATACATCTGGAGGTCAGCACATTGGGGAAGATTGACCTAGATTGTAGTACACAATGCTATCTGAAGCAATGTACCTCTCAGTAAATGGGAATTTGGGAAGCATCCTCCAGGAAAAGTGAAGGATGCTTCCCATTACTATGTGTGGGAAGGTATGTTTTCCCCTGGATGATCCTGCACTCAAAAGAGACAGATTCTTATAGGCTGGTCACTTTTAGGTTTGTGAACAGTTGAAACTGGCAAGGACCAAATTAGTTTTTATTTCATAATTCCAAATTACTATTTGTTATGGAACCCTTAAAACAGCCTTCCTGACTCCATTATGAGAGAGCACACTAAGAATCTTAGTAATATAGTTGAGAAAAAAAGACATTTATGAAATCTAAAAGAATAAGTAGTCTCTGTGAACATCTATCAATCATGATCAAGGCTTGGAGTGTATCTGATCAGTTCTGTAAAGCCATCTCTGCTCATCAATAAGAAAGCTTTAAGTCTCCCCAGCTGCCTGAAAACTGAGGCTGATGTGGGCCAGCCTTGGGGAGTGAGTCCTGTACTTGATATTCCCACAACTGAGAAAAGCTCTGCCCTATGCCCTGGCAGATCTCATTTCAGGTCAGGTCCTTGTCCATAAATCTTAAAGTTGAGTAGTGACAGAGTGAGTGAATTTTTCCCAACAGGAAAGTTAGGCCCGTGCAACAAGCAAATATATGCAAAGACAACTTGTTCAGCCCTTGAAAGGTTTGCTGATCCGTTCATTGCGGGAGGGGCAGCTGTGTGGCTGTGCAGAAATGGCTCTAAAAGGATGCTGGTCATGCTGTTGTTTTTCCTCAGGCACCACCAATTCTAGGAAGAGTCCGGAGCTTTTGGAGGATGTTGCAGTCACGGCGGCATTCATTGATACGGCTGAGGTGGCTGTCATTGGATTCTTCCAGGTCTGTTAAGACTGCTCAGCTACAGGAATATATTTGAAATTTGCACTAGCCGGCACTCTTATGCCAGCACTTGGGCATAACCATTTTGTAATTGTGTATAATAAGAAGGGGAGTTTAAACAACAATCATTTCCATCTATGGCAAACTGTTATCTGGTATAAGCATGTTACTTTTCTAAGTATGAATGGTAAAATAAGGGTATAGTGTGATATCTTAATGTCACCCAGCCCTTAATGGACAACTAAGGCTCTTGCATATCCACAGCACAATTTCCAGTTCCAGAACATGACAGCATTGACCCCAAAATAACCTTGAATACACAAAGTTATTTTTGTTTCTTCTCAGCCTGTTTTCTGAAGGCCATTTCTCACATTCAAAGCCAGTGTGGTCACATGGTATTTTGAGGCAGCTGCCGATGTGCCAAGAAGCTTGTTTGCGATGGGGCACCTCACTAGGTAGCTACAAACCATCATTTAATATTTTCGACAGTCCTTTGGCGCATTGGACATACATTGCCCTGGGGTATTGCTGGAAATCTGAAATGGCAGTTGCCAGCGCTGCTGGGAGGAGTGCCACCACCTGATAAGGTCATCAGCAGAGGAGTCTGCAGGGGGCGCAGGGCCCTCCCAAGCCTGAACCTGCCCTGCTCACAGTCCATATCAGGGCTTTCTGGGGTCCCTTCAAGACAAAAGTGAACAGGGTTAAAAAACCCAATCTTGTAATCTGGAAAATTTGATTGAAATTTATTTATTACATTTTCATACTGTCCCAAAGCCAAAGCTCTTTGGATGGTTTACAAACCTAAAACTGTAAGATAAAACATCAAGGAGACTGAATGCTAGAAGTGGCCATTTCCACAGCCAGGGGACCCTATGGTGCTTCCATACCAACAATGGTAAAATGGCAATCCTGGGTCCAGATGACTGAAAAGCCATAGTGAAGTGTGGAAACCTTAAAATAGGTGGTTCTTTCCATCATACCATGAAGGAAGTCCAGAACTGGGTTTTGATGCTACAACAGACCCACAATGGTAAGATTTCACCATGGATTCTCATGTTAAGTGAACCTCCTCCTTGACTTGTTTTGACTCATCCAGCTTATCTAACCAGTTGTGGGTTCTCTGGATTGTGGCCTCTTCCCTTTTCTCCCTACACTTTGTTCTGACCTCCTTTCCTTTCCTTTATATATGTGTGTGTATAATATTTTATATATATATATACACACACACACACACACACACACACACATATATATATTCATATATATAAAATAAAATTTGGCATTTAATTTTCATAAGGCTCTGAAGCTCACTAAATAAAGCTAGTTGGAATGCTATCAAGTTATTTAAATGAATATATGTTCGATAATTCAGATGCGTTTCCTGGATACCACTTCTCAGCATTGCATCTCTATTCAAAGGCAACACAAAAACTATAGAGAGCATACACTTACACAAATCATCTGCAGAATCAATGCTAGCTCCAGGTTTCAGAGGGCCTTTCAGCAAAGTCCCCTCAATGGGCCCTCTCCCTCAGTGAATCTACCTTCTTATCACCAAGGTCACCAGCTGCTCTTGCTCCTTATCCTCCATCTTGTCATTACCACCACTTGCATGCCAGATGCCATGGCATCTGCTGTTCCTTCTCCTTAGTACCCCATTGTCTGAGCCAGACAGAGGCAGCTGATCAAGCAGGATGATCAACTCTACGGGTCTCTTGCCAGCAGGACTCTGCTGGGCTGTGGGTGTTCTGCAGGTGCCCATTGAACTCGATAGAACTTAGTTCTGAATAGACAAGAATAGGGTCATGTTTTACTTCTGTGGCTGTGAAAAACTTTGTTCTCTAAGCCAAGTTTTTAAAGGCTTGGAACATGGTTCAGCTAGATGAAGCCCCACTGGTTAATCATGGAATATTAAAAAGCACTTTGTTCCTCAGCTGAACTTATTGGTTTATTTTCATTCCACACATACACTTACTTCCCTACCAGAAACAGCTGTTCAACATTCTGTTTACAATGGGATTCTCTCTTTCCATTCCACTAGCCCTTTTCAGTCCTCTCTTTCCCTCAACAAAATCAAGTTTAGCTGTAAACTCTGTTTGCAAATACACATTCTGGAAGAAATTTAAGGTTCAAGATTTTTAGTTTATGTAGAGGTTTTAGAAATTTGAATATATATTCTAAAAGACCGGATGTCATTGAAATCTAAGTATTAAAAGGATCCAGAGCAAAATTATCCTAAAATATTTGTGAAGTGTCCTGTTTCTGATTTTCTTCCAGAGTTGAATTCCTTTTGTGCTTATTGGCTAATTTTTACTTGAAATGTAGTTTTTCCTATCCCTCTGAAAAATGCCAAACATTGTTAATTTATACTGCGAGCCTGGTCTATACGTGCTAAGATGGTTGAGTAGGAATAGATAAGGAAACAAAGAGCTAACAGTGTATGCTTCACTAAGAGCTCCATCTTATGGCTGATTGGACAGGAAAAAAGCCTACAAGTCCCAACATGTCACAGCAAGCATGGCTCACACATTCTGGGTATTGTAGCCCCCATTTTTCCCCTGACAAAACAGGTATAGGATTGCAGTTTAACAGATTTCTATCCTTTTTTTTTTTGGATAGTGGACTTTTCAGGCTACATTAGCATGAGATGCAGTCATTTCCGAAATATCTTTCAATGTCTAGATAGAACTAACAGCTGGTTTACACACTAATTAATGTGCAATCTTGATTTAAAAAATGGAACCACCAGTTGCTAAGTTCTTCAGATGATCACAGACGGATTTGTTATCTGTTGCAAGATTGCATCCTGTCATCTATCAAATGGCATTTGATCCCAAAGCACGGGAAACAAGTCAGAATGTCTGGGTGAATAGATCTGACACCTTAACACCATATGGTCTCGGCTATAGCAAGTGCCACCTTCGGAATGTTCCTGCCTCCAAATTAGCCACAGCACTGTGAAGAAGGCAGGAAGCAGAACGCTGCTCTAAAGCAGTAATGCTTCTGTTTGTTAGTCTCGTGCTCGTGCCTCTCTTGCTCTGCCTCTTGTTAAGAGGCTGCCAGTGTGGCATAATGTGCAGAGTGTTGGCCTGGCACTTGGGAGATCTAGGTCCCAGTCCCCTATCAGTCCTGAAGTTCGCTGGGGCTCAAACTCTGATTCTTAGCTTATTTCAACTCCAGAAGGATTGTGAAAATATAATGGAAAGGATTATGTAAGATGCCTTGGGTTACTTGCAGAAAAAAGGATGGCATGCAAATACAATTAACTAAAGATTGCAGCAGCAGGGCTGGTCCTCCCATGAGGTAGGGTAAATCTGACAACTAAGGTGGTGGATCTGGAAGGGTGGTGGATCCTAGAAGGTACTTGGGTCCTAATGCTACCACCAAACCATGGAAGAAAGGAGCTGTTGCAGATCCTTGGGACAGCTGTTGCTACCCACCCCCTGGCTCACTTTGAGTAAGGCATAAACAGGAGGCTGCCCCAGAAAGCTGCCTTAGCTGCTTCCCAGCTGTATCAAGGACTGCAACAAGAGGCTCTTCTGTGTGGTGCTCCAGAGGGGATCCACCACATCAGGCATCAGCCACTGTAGTGTTCCAGAGAGCTGTGCTGACAGTGGTCTTGCTGTGGCAGTCCTGCAAAATAAGAATGTCTGGCATGACTTTCTGGAGCACTATCTGTACAATGCCTTGCTCTAAGGATCACCAGAGTGAGGCATTAAGCAGAGAAGTTCCCTGGGGAGCCCTTCTGGTCGCTTCCTGCTGGGATGGTGTCATGGCAGAAAAGTGGCCAGTGAGGGTCTCTCTTGAGCAGTGGTGGTGAACCTATGGCATGCGTGCCACAGTGGGCACACAGACCCTTCTCTGTCCGCATGTGAGTCAAGTCGCCCCAGCATCGCCCCAGCAGCCGAGCATTGGATAACAGTGCACAAAGGGCCATGAGGATGCTTGGAAAGGAGTAGCAGCACCAGGAGATGATGTCATGAGCCGCAACTCATTGGCTGCAACTTGTCCAAGCTTTCACATGGTCGGTCGGTCAGTGAGCTGCCAAGGAAATATATACATACATACACACACACACACACACACACACACACACACGTTTGAACTGGCTGTGTGTTGTTTTTTCTAAAATAAACCCTCAGTTTTCAGGTTTTATAGCAGTGTTGACACTTCAAAATAAATAAGTGGGTTGTGGGTTGCAGTTTGGGTGCTTGATCTCTAAAAGATTCACCATCACTGGGTTAGGGTTAGAAAAACGAGGTGTCCCGGCATGATTTTGATGGTTGAAATATGTTTAGAAGGGGCCGAGATGATGAGCAGTGCAGAAAAAGCTCCTCAAAGAAGGCTTTTTCAAGATGGCCCTCTTTTCAATGGAACTTTCTCCCTCTATTAGGGCTAGGGGTGTGCACCAGGGTAGGGTTAGGGTTAGAAAAACGAGGTGTCCTGGCATGATTCTGATGGTTGGAAAGTGTTTAGAATGGGCAGACATGATGAGCTGTGCAGAAAAAGCAACTCAAGGAAGGCTTTTTCAAAATTGTCCTATTTTCAATGGAACTTTAGCCCTACATTAGGGTTAGGGGTGTGCACCAGGGTAGGGTTAGGGTTAGAAAAACGAGGTGTCCTGGCATGATTTTGATGGTTGGAATGTGTTTAGAAGGGGCCGAGATGATGAGCAGTGCAGAAAAAGCTCCTCAAAGAAGGCTTTTTCAAGATGGCCCTCTTTTCAATGGAACTTTCTCCCTCTATTAGGGCTAGGGGTGTGCACCAGGGTAGGGTTAGGGTTAGAAAAATGAGGTGTCCTGGCATGATTTTGATGGTTGGAATGTTTTTAGAAGGGGTCGAGATGATGAGCGGTGCATAAAAAGCTACTCAAGGAAGGATTTTTCAAGATCACCCTCTTTTCTATGCAACTTTTGTCCTCTATCAGGGTTAGGGGTGTGTACCAGGGTAGGGTTAGGGTTAGAAAAACGAGGTGTCCTAGCATGAATTTGATGGTTGGAATGTTTTTAGAAGGGGTCGAGATGATGAGCGGTGCATAAAAAGCTACTCAAAGAAGGCTTGTTCAAATTTGCATTATTTTCAATGGAACTTTCTCCCTCTATTAGGGCTAGGGGTGTGCACCAGGGTAGGGTTAGGGTTAGAAAAACGAGGTGTCCTGGCATGGTTTTGATGGTTGGAATGTGTTTAGAATGGGCAGACATGATGAGCTGTGCAGAAAAAGCTAGTCAAGGAAGGCTTGTTCAAATTTGCATTATTTTCAATGCAACTTTCTCCCTCTATTAGGGCTAGGGGTGTGCACCAGGGTAGGGTTAGGGTTAGAAAAACGAGGTGTCCTGGCATGATTTTGATGGTTGGAATGTGTTTAGAATGGGCAAACATGATGAGCTGTGCAGAAAAAGCTAGTCAAGGAAGGCTTTTTCAAAATCGTCCTATTTTCAATGGAATTTAGCCCTGTATTAGGGTTAGGGGTGTGCACCAGGGTAGGGTTAGAGTTAGAAAAACGAGGTGTGCTGGCATGATTTTGAGGTTTTCTGGTTTTATTGCAGTGTTGGCACTTTGCGATATATAAGTGGGTTTTGGGTTGCAGTTTGAGCACTCCGTCTCTAAAAGGCTCGCCCTCACTGCTATAGAGCACATGCAGCCAAAATGCCGTATGAAGAAAGGACCCATAGAAGATGGGAGGAAGGTGGGGCAACGATGGCAGCCTCTGCTCCCCCCGCATTCCTGCCAGTGGTTCCTTGTTTCTTTCACTCTCAGTTGTGGTGCATCAGGAGGCTATGGGGAGGACTTTTGTTGGCCATGTCCAGCAAAAATATGCTTGCCCTTTTTAGTACCCATGGAACTGGCCTAGAATGTCAGTCAGTAGACAGAGATTGCTGTTTCCTCCCCAAAGGACAGGGAAATGGATAGTTTCTCCCAGTCAGGAAGTACAACTGCAGTGGCTAACCGTAAACATATCACAAAGAAACCAAGCACACTTTCCTAATGCACATTAAAGGATTCAATATCTTTGTTGTATCTGATTAGGAAGTGTTGCAGCAGAATGGCAGCAATTACCCCTTCCAGTGGGGCCAAACCAAGTTGGTTTTGCTATCCATGGCAGAACAGCAAAAGGAAGCAAAATGGAAGCAACAGTGAGGAAGAGAAGGAATAATCACATGTGGAACCATGGTGGAGAGATGGTAGGCTCACTATGGGAGAAGTCCCATTGAGAATGCCTTTGCAAAAACCTAGAGCTGACAATGGTGTCTCTTGTCATTCAATTCCTTCCCAAGCAAGGTACATTGTAGCTGTTCTAGTTGTTTTCACACTTGAGGCAAAGCATCTTGCAAGTGCCTCCCCTTGGAAAATCCAGTAAGAAAATTAACCACAACAAATGGATGACCTTTTATGGCACCAAAAAAGAGTTTCCTGCTGCAGTCCACCGTACTCTGCCTAATGATAGGGCAGGCCCTGCCCAGTCTTTCTAATGCAATGGATAAATAGCTTAAATGCGTCTTCTGAAGTCTCATATGTTTTAAGGGATACCAAGTAATCCTCCCCATAGAATACTGATTTATCTGAAACATGGATCCTGAAGAAACCTGACTGAATACAAATAGCCACAAGATGTCAGCATTGTTCCCTATTATGACTGAGAACTAAAAAGACCTGAATAAAAAAATGGGGAATTTCTTGTGTCTATCAAATACTTTCTTAGTCTTTCTTATCTTTTTATTTTTTAACTTTTTGTTAAATTTTCTATAATTTTTCTTCATGTTGCTTCTTTTTCAGTCATCAGAAGACACCAAATTGGGTAGAATAGCTAATACTCTGTTAGATGACACAAAATTGGGTGAGAGCTATTAACCTGGAAGACAAAAACAATGATTCAGGATCTGAAAACAAAGTTTTTGAGAAGAAATGGAAAGAACTGGGCATGTTTAGCCTGGAGAAAAGAAGACTGCAGGGAGATAGGATGGCACTTGAAAGACTGTCACACAGAAGAGGGTCGGGGTCTCTTCTTAGTCATGCAGCACATGGAATAATGGGCTTCAGTTTATTTCATTTTTATACCACTCAATAGCTGAGGTTATCTGGGTGGTTAAAAATAGTTAAACACACACACACACACACACACAATCATTTAATGGAATGAAACCATAATAGCAATAGCAATTACTATTATTCCGCGTAGAAGCTTATCAGCAGTACTGAATAAAATGAAATATACAAAAACAAAGTCAAAAAGTTAAAACTCCTAAAATGCTGGGAAATTTAAAAAAAGATCTTAATCTGACACTGAAAAGTATACAAAGTAGGTTCCAGGCACACCTCTTTGGGGAGCTCATTCCATAGCTGGGTTGCTGCAACTGAAAAGGTCCTCCTTCTCTTGGAAGGTGCTCCCAAAAAAGGACCCCCAAAGATAGAAACTGAGAAACAGAGCGAGTCTCCCAGACCATCTAGTCTGACCCCCGGCTCCAGCCAACTCTGCTCACAGCTTGCCCACCATGTGCATGTCTAGCCTAACCCTCACCAATGGGGCCTCAACCACCTCCCATGGAGGCCCATTCCATACCCTCAGGGATGATCTCAAGTTACAGAAAGCCAGATGGCTTCCGACATCAGGGGAAAATTTAGAGTAGTACTGCATGGAGCCAATTACCAAAGAGGTGATGGGCTCTGTTACACTGAAGGCATTAAAGAGACAGCTGGATGGCCATCTGTTAAGGATGCTTCAACACGGAGTCCTGCATTGAGCAGGAGGGATAGACTTGATTGCCTGATAGGCCTCGTCCAACTCTACTATTCTATGATTTTGTGATCTTAAAGAAGATGATAGAAGATATCATCTAAAAGGTTCCCCTTTCCTTTTTGTCTAGACATATTCAGGGATCAGGCTTGAGTAGCATACAAGCAACACACATAAGAGGAACAGCTCTCAGTATGCCAGTCCTGTCCCTCAGTTTTCGACCTCTGCATGTTGAATGTGGCAGTCTGCAGGATTTGAGCAGGAGCTTCCATGAAACCAGGCAGGGAAGCTCAATCTCCACCTTGCTCAATTCCCATGAATGGATTGTGTGAAGAACTTGAAGATGTGGCTGTCATGTACTGCTCTGTCTCCTTTACTCGAGTTCCTTCTACACAATAGCAGATGCAGCACCATTCCCCTCGCAGTTCTTTAAAGGCATAGCTAGAACTGCTTTGATATTTGTTCCTCTCCCCACAGTTCACTGGAGCTTTAGTTCCTCAAAAAAAAGTTTCAGAGACAGAATTTTCAGTGGGCCCAGTCAAGTGACCTGTTATTATCTTGGAGGTTCGCTTCATCTTTCATGTATTAGATTTTCCACACCTATACCATCTCCCAGAATTCTTTGAGAAGACCCATGAGAGAAACTGGTTTAGAGGTGATACATGTTTGCATGATTGCCCGATGCCCAAAACTTTTTCTCATTCCATCTCTTCTCCCCATTCCTCCTTCCTTCAGGATTCAAAGGCACGAGAAGTTTCAGAATTCCTAACAATGGTACAAGAACTACAAGACATTCCATTTGGGTTTTGCAACAGCTCTGAAGTCCTTTCTCATTATAATATCACAACAAATACCGTCTCCCTCTTCCGCAAGGTAGGTTTTCTGTCTTGCAGTTCTTCTTTCAGCAGCAATGATAGGCCAATGCTGTAGGTGTTAACAATATAAATTGGGATTCCTTCTTTAGCCTTAATCATGGAGGGAATCAATATAATACTCTAAGGTATGAAGAAATATTTCCAATAGTAACAGGAAGAGGCCTGAAATACTCTAGTGAGGAAAGAAGCCCAGTAAGACCAAAAAATAAAGAGAACAGTCTGCTCACCCCACCACACTCCCAGTTTAGGCAAAAGAATGTTAGGCAAAAGAATGTTCTGAAAAAGGCTTTACTTGAGCTACTACTTTGGAAAAAACCAAGATCAAAGGATTATGACATAGTAGTTACAGTGTTGGACTGGGACTTGGGAGACCTGGGTTCTAGTCCCCACTCAGCAATGAGAGCTCACTGGGTGACTTTGGTCCAGCCACAAACTCTCAGCCTAACCTACCTCACAAGGTTGTTGTTGTTGCTGTGAGAATAAAATGGAGAGGAGGAGACCCTTGAAAGCTGCCTTGGATTCCTTGCATGAGGAAGAAAATTGGGATATAAATACAACGTAATAATATTAGTAACAAACCGTTTTGTTAAAGGTAAGTTATAGAGGACTCTAAAAACAAAGGGTAGATTTTGTCACCAGCCCTGTAGTAATTGCTAGAGCCTCCACATTAGAGATCCAAATTCTCTTTGGATCAGTGGTACATTTAAAATTGTGGGAAAGTGTCATGGAGGTGTTCATAGAATGGCCGCCATGGCAGCAGGGGCTTGCGCATTCATAAAACAGCAACCATGGTGAGCACGGCCAGTCTCAAAACACTCATTTCCCAGAAGGTGACTGGTAAGCCTAAAAGAAAGGATACTTGCCACAGAATCTAAGTATATGGTGGAGATGTCACTTGAACTATTCAAATATAAAGCTCTTCTTTTGAACCTAAATCAAGATGGCATTGAAAGGCGGTACTTTGCCTTGCCTCCCACTTTAAAAAAAGAATAGTTAGAACATATTTAGAATAAAATAAGAAAAGATGGAGAGCCTGGCAAGTGCCCACAGGTGTCCATGAGTACAGTGGTGCCTGTAGTTACCATACTGGAAACCTCCACTCTACATCACACTTGCTCATCCATCCCTTTGCTATGCCATGGTTGTACTGTAACATGCGACTTCCTTTCCTGAGTTGTGGCTTGTTCCATCTTTGCTGAATTTCTGTTCTTTTGAACCTGGAAGAGAGCAGCATGAGTAGAACATGGTCATGTTGTGTTTATGGGGATTGGTTAGATTGGGCCATAGGGTGTAGTCCTTCCTGGAGTGTACTACGTTAGATTGGGTGGTGGTGATAGAAAATGCATGCTTGATTTAAAAATTACACTGTTCCTCTGTGAGGAAGTCTAGTATGTAAAGCTGAGCTTGGTTACTTAGAATAAGACTTTCTGACACACTATCTTGCATGGGTAGTGGGGTGTGTGCTCATTTACACATGAGAGAGCATTCAAGCTTCCTGAAATCTGGAGAGATATCAGCCACTTGGTACCACATGCCTTTTTGACTTAGTTCTTCGTGCTGAGTTTATCTAATCCCTGAAAAAAAAACCCCAAGAAATTAGCAGATGTGATCTTATGTGTAGGATTTATAATGGCACTTTTGCACCAGTGTGTATTTTCTGCCTTTCCGCCCCCTCTCTGCCCTTTCTGCCTGCCTCTCTGCCCTTCCTTCCTACCAGTTTGACTAAGTGTTTTCCTGGTGACTTTCAACTTTCCTGCCTTTAGCCTCAATATGATATAGTGAGGAGTTTTAAAATGGCTAAAATGGTAAAATTAAATCATACCTGCAAATTAGCAACCGTTAGGAAGATATTCCCTCCACCCTGCCCGCCTCCAGTTCAACTTCTCTGAGAGGCGGCAAAGCTAACAATGCTCTTATTTACTTCCTGGCTGAGGTGGGAGAAGGAATGGGGAGGGTGTACAAACACAGCCTGTATTGGTTAACCTGATGTTGTAGGTCATAGACCTGCACAGGAAACCCTTCAGTTTCTTTGCGTAGGTATGCTGTTAGCAACTTCCTTGGTGACTTAGTATCCTCAGCTGGCTCTCTGGTTATGTTGTTTTGTGAGCTCAGGTCATCACAGGATCTGGCAACTTGGCAGAAAGGTTCCAGTTCTAATTTAGATCTCATTGAAATGTCCGGCACTGAAGTGACAACCGTATGTGTTGTGATGCAGTAGAACAGAGATTCCCAGACTTTCTCATTTAGTGGAAGAAAAGACTAGCATCTTGGGTAAAGAAAGCTGAACACTGTCTGTACAGAGGTTCTCTTATTTGATATAGCTTGCCAGCCTGTGATCCTCTTTATCCTCTGTTTCTTTGAGGGTTCACTTTTCTAACTGATGCAATTTTAGTACTGTGCTCTAGAACTATAAATGATGAGATAACCCCATAAATTGACTCTTTAAAAAGTCCAACAATTTCTGTCTGTGAAGGGAAGGGTACTCTGCACATACTCAGAAATGCTGTGTTTTAAGTGGGCTTTTAAGCTCCCTTACAATGAACCTACAGATACAACTGATTCCTTTCACAAAGGAAAGTCTCTATAAAAAATCTGTGAAATCATCACCCCCCGCCCCACTCCTGTTCCCTGGGAGGTGAAATTCAGCACGTGTGCACAGACCTTCAACCTGAGGTGCCATAATGGTTCACTCCAAGATTAGCAACAGTGTTTCTGGCTCAATCCAGTGGTACTGGATTGGTTACTTTCCAACCCAGGAAATCTTGTTCTCATCGAACATATTTTGATTCTCTGACACAGGAGATTCTTTATGTAACTGCAAAATATGCAGATGATCAGAACAGGGTTTTTACTGCTGAAGTCTGCAAACTGTTCCAACCGCTAGTGACTTTGGTGGTCCCTGGAACTGTATCCAGGGTCTGTGTGCTCTGGCTTATTTTCCACAGAGCTGCTCTTGGTTTACTCCCAAGTGGGCCACAGAAAAAATCAGGAGCCCGAATCCTCTCTTCCATGGCCCAAAGGTAGATAGTAATACATTTCCAGTGTCCCATGTGTTGTGTTCATAAGATTTTATCAGTGTTGTGCCACACATCAATTAGATAATTTAACAAAATGTCCACTGGACCTTGCAGTTGAGTTGTTCCATCTTTCCTGCCTGCCTATTGTGAGTCCTGTCAGTAAGGTAGATCAGGAGGAGATATTTTCCCAGAAGTTGTGTTTGTGGAGCCTGAATATTTTTTTCCTGCTGGAAAAATTCCTCTATTTATTGGAGAGCTTCTTGCTTACACAATATTTCCAGGAAATCCACAGATGCTTGTGCCAATGTTTATTAGGTTTAGAAGTAATGAAATAAGCAGACAATCTTTTTTAAGGGAAAGGTTTAGATTGGTTTACAATCCTCTTTCCAGAGGTATCATAAATAGTTATCAGTGAATCCTCATTGTTGCTAGAGTTCAGGGCAACTTAGTGCAACTGGTAATAACCCTGGTTTCATGACAGATTGTGAGATTGTCCATAATTTCTCATATTTTCTTTAGCTAAGGTAAAAGAACAAAGGTTTGAGAATGGTACTTAGAGTATTATAATCAGTATTATGATCTCCATGGAAAAAGTAGACAAATTAAATTCTACACAGGGATGCATAATGTGCATCATGTGGGGAATAGGACATGAATGTGTTGGTGTCTTCCAGCAGGTATACATGGTGACAGTGGTACAGATGGACCTTTGATTGTGGAGAAGGTGGGAGAACCGAACCGTCATTACCTGACATGTTTAGTGAGAGATTCTGAGGTGTGCAGGCAGTCTCATGACAATCTCCATAGTTCTGCCCCCAAGATCGCCTCCAAAAACCCAGACAACCGTGTTCATTCATTTCAACAGAAGAGTTTCTAGTATCTTCAGCAGGAGCAGGTCTTTGTACAGCTAATGGGTCTTAATTCAACACCAAGCTATCCCCAAATACTTTGCATTATAACTAAGCATGATTTTTTGCTGAGCAAATTGATTTCCCCCCAGTTACTGTGACAATTAAACTTCAAAGTGAAGAGGGAATTCTATGAAGGATGAGATGCCAGGTGATGTCAGCATCTTTGTTAATTAAAAATAATGCTGTTTTTGCACCCCTGGTTTCACTACATCACTATTCATGGGGTTAGGGGATCACACTTGTTGGAAAGAGAGGAGGCAGACACATGCAGTATACAGCGCCCAGTAGGGCCCCATTGGCTGTTATGCCTGCCTGCACATAAGAATTTGGATGTTTCCAGATGGAGGGTTCCTACTACCACCAGTCAAAGTGTTACTGCATGTTTCCCTTCTTTTTCTGTGAAGGAAAAGGGTAGAACAGATGGCAGAGAAAGTTGGGAAGGTTGCAAGCGGAAGATGAGGTCAGGTGGACCCACTGTAAAATTCTATGAATAAGGCAGGGTGACTGCAGGATAAAAGGCTCATTAGGAATTACCCTTTGTTTCTGAGACTGATGTAAGGGGAAATGACTGGAGTAGAGCAATGATGGTTGGACTACTTGCTTTGCTTCAGGTGGATAACAAAAGGAAAGATCTGGAAATGGAAGACACTGAAGGAATTGATGCCACCAAGCTGATTCGTTTTGTCCGGATCCATGAACTCCATTGGGTAACCGAGTACAACCCTGTGGTAATGAAGGACTTCTCTAAAACATGTTGACATTATTGTAGGCATTTGACAACTGAGTTTCCACTTTCTGTCCAAAAGCAAAATCATGGGCTTAGCATTAATTCCTCTAGTTAGGTGACACTTTCTCTTTCCTAACAGCAAGTTATTTGAATGCAGAGCGACAATGCAGCCTTTGCTCCAGTTATTTTTCTTTATTCGTATATGTCTGATGTGCTTGGATCTTGCCTAGCAGAAACAATGGGGACTGTTACTTGAACCATAATGATTCTTCAGATACTTCTTAAAAGCAGCTTAGGATGGATTTCAAAAATGAGGCAGAGAGCACTGAGATTCCCTAAAACTATGCTCAGGATTACAGTTATAGCAACATTGAGCAGGAACAATGCAGTGAATGTAGGCATGCTCACATGAGCATCACACTGACTGCTTTTTATGTGGATTATACATCAGTTGGATGCATTTGGACCCTCCCTGCCGTCATCTGCACAGTTTGTCCTGGTCTCCAAATGTTTTGCATAGCACAGTGGTAGAAGTACAGCGTTAACTTGGCTAGCACATATAGGGGAGAGGTAAGTAAAATACCAGGCGGATTGGTAACTTTTCCATCTGGCTATTGCCTTGCTTCCAGTTTTGTACAATAGCACTAAATAGTGGATGCCAAAAACTCCTGTTTATATATGTCTAAATCCTCAAACAAAGGAGCTGAAGTTTTGGGCCCCATCTGAAGAGAATGCATCTCACCACTCATATATTGTGGCTTGTCGGTTGCTTGACAGTCCCCTCTTGCTCACCCCGCTCTTTTTTGCTCTTTCAAGTAGAAAGAAGGAGCAAGTGGCTTGTTGAGCCACTGAGAGGAAATCAGAGAGGACCATCATAGCAAACCGAGTTCATCTTGGTTCATTTTCCAGATCACAATGGAATAGGCTTTTCCTAGATGGATTTAATTGGCAGCTATAACACAGTACTGGGATTATCCACTGACGTAATTCCACCAGACAAAGGACCAAGCTGTAGGAAGCCCTCATCTGCAGTCTCAGGGTAGCCAGATCCATTACTGCAAAACCTACTGTGGGCAGCCCTCAATTTTCACCTTTTATCTGTTTTCTGCCTATCAATGGTAAACCATGCTCAGAATGGCTCACAATAACGCTTGCTCAGCATGTGTCATGTAAGACTAATGCTACCAGGCAGATAATGGCATCTTGTCTCTAAGTGAAGAAAAAGCCTCTTGCTGAGGTTTCTGCCCACACTGTGGGTCAAAAGGCAGAGACCTGCCCGTGTGTAACTGTCACAAGTTCTTCTTTCTTGGTCAGAGAGCCTTCTGATAGGCTTTACTGGCATTTACTGTAGGCTGCTTCAAGTTTGCCATCTTCTATGGACTGAGCTAGAAACTTGAAGGTTGGAATAACTGGACCTCCCACAATGCCAAAGTCCCAATGCTCTCAAGCTGGAAGGCGCTTCGAGAAATGCACTCACTGACCTCTTCTTATTAATTCTGGAATCCTCTCACACTTTCCTCTTTTTCATAGAAATGCTGGCAGAGTTTGACACAAAGTCTCTCCCTCCCTCTCTGTGGTTTTCTGTGGTACATGGGAGAGCAGCAGGTCAGCTACAAGCTGTCCAGGCCCCTGTTTGGCTTGTGGGAGTGGCTGCTGCAATTTGGGCAGCTGGGGAAAGGAGAAGAAAAAATCACATGAGGATTTAGCCAGCAGCTGGAGACTGTGCAAGGAGACCATTGCTGGTGCCAGGTGCCTTAAGGCCCTTCACAGAGATGCAGTGTGTCCTGCACCATCATCCCATCTCCAAGAGATACATGGAAAGCTCCAGGCCTTATTTTGTGTGTTAGCCCCCAGACTGCTTGGCCTCATGGTTTTCAAACAGTTCAAAATGATGTCCAGATGTTTTCCAGGCCTCTGCTGTTTTGTTGTTGTTGCTTCAGTAAATGGTAAAAGTAGTGTGACACCAAAGGGTTCTTGTGACACCATTTCACTGTCAAGCCTTTTACAGAATTCTCCACCGTACAGTTCCTACAGTCTGCAGTCTGACCCAGAAAGAGCCCTTTATGTCAAACTTTTATTCAATTCATGATTAAAACAAGGAATCAAATTATTAAAAATGAGTGAAATATAGATTCTGTTATAATTAAAATGTGTACATGTATAGAAAGAAAAAAGTTTGAATGTCTAAGGTACCTGCAATGAAGGCTGCATTTCTTTGTGCAATGATTTGGGAGTGAGGCCCTTTCAGTAAGTCCATATTAACATCTGTACTGGACAGTGAAGCAGCAAAGTTTATGACAAGCACACAGAGAAACAAGTAGCACTGAAGAAGATTTAGGGTCTGTAGTCTCAAATATGGGTGACACAGAGAGAAAATTAGCAAAAGACTGAAGAAAATAACTTTCCAAATTTTTTTTTTTTTGAGTTTGAATTCTAGCATCATTTTGGGTCTTGGATTTGTATTATTATAAGAAATACAACGTTTTCAATCCCGATCTGTATTTTCACAGCTCCTTCGTGTAAGCAATGAGTGCTTGCCATTTGCTAATTCATGATCCATTTGTAGGCCTCAGAGCTGGTGGACTGTACAATGGGGAAGTGCAAGATCTTGTTCTTCCTTTTCCCATTTATTTGTTGCATATGTTGAGAAAATGCGAAGAAAGGGTTTTTCTTGAATCTTGTTTTTTAGGCCCATATCTGAATTCAACAGCTCTAAATATGCCATGTTTGTGAAGTTTCAAACTGGTGTTTTCTTTTAAGTTAACACTAAAAATACTGTGTAATACAAAATGGAAGTAATTTGACTTTGATAAAGCAGAGCAAAACAGGCGAAATCCTAGACATAGCAAAGATGACCCAGCAAGCCCTTTTGATTTCCTCAGCTCTTCCTCATCCTAAAATTTACACTGTGTCTGTTCTACAATTCTCTGAAGTTTTAACTCATTGCATGATCTCTTCTTTTTGGTTATAAATTTAAGGAGCACTCTCATGACTCTGAGGATTTATGTTTTGAACATTTAATTTTCCAGGACTAGTAGTTCCAGCAGTTGCACATTTCCTAACCAACATATTTCTTCACCCCTTTTCTGGCAGACTGTAATAGGCCTCTTTGACAGTGCCATCGAGACCCACCTTCTTTTGTTCACTGACAAGAAATCCCCCAAGCATGCAGAGAGGATGGAGAAGTATCGCAAAGCAGCCACCCTCTTTCAAGGGAAGGTAAGTCTGAAATGTTCTTGGTCCACATCATAAGGGCATTCAGTTTCCAGACAGAGAGGCAGCATCCACCAGGTGGATGCCAGGAAGTTCTTCCTGATGGTTAGGATCTCTAGGGTATTGAATGAGCTTCCACAGGAGGTGGCTGAAGCCCTGTCAGTGAGGGTGTTCAAGCATAGACTGGACATGCACATGGTGGGCATGTCATGAGCGGAGCTGGCTGGAGCCGGGGGGGGGGGTCATGCTAGATTGCCTGCGAGGCCCCTTCTGACTTGCTCTGTTTCTGTTTCTATGTTTCTAATTTCTGCAGAGGAAATGGGGACGATATCACATTTTGTGTATTAGGAAAACAAATATGAGTATGATGCATTAACGGAACATTGGGCTGTGTGTCAGCAATATTCTAAGAAACAGCTCTCAAAAAAAAAGCCCATTACCTAGCATTACAGTATAAAATTGTGTAGGCATAGCTGTAGACCCAAGCTTAGCCATGGCTACAGGAAAGCTAATAGGACATAGGTAAGTCATGGCTAAGGCTGGTTCTAGCCCACTGTATATGTGTGCATGAGGAGCGGGAGTGGAGAGCTTCTTAACACTGGCAGCCAACCTGCAGTTCTAGTGTAGAAGTGGGGCACAGTTCAGCTTTGGAAAAGAAGCTGGAGTGGCCAAAGGAGTTGCTGTTCCATTTGCCTCCTCCCAATGTCTTTGAACATTTCATATGCCTTCAGAACTTTCTCCAGGTGATGGCACAACTTTCTCTCGAACTTGCCAGAGGAACTGTGATGAAAACTCTGAGTCAGAATTTCAGGACTGATATTGTTGGAGGGGGTTGTTTCCGTTCCAATTACTGCCCTAAACACTGGGGGCTTCAGGTGATCTCATGTGGATTCTTTCCCCCGCCTTTTTAGTTCCAAACCACTTCTGCACAAATGTTGTCTTAATAAGGGAAAAGACTATGAGACGTGCAGGATCAAAGCCTGTCATAAATTTGGGCAGAAGCAGGTCCAAATTTCTCTTCCAGAGTTCTATGGGGCTATTATACTGAACCATGTTAAGAACAGGGGCCTCATTGCTGTTTGGTCCACGTGCCATATGCTGCCGTGCCTCAAAATTCTGCTGGATGCATAATTGGGGAAGCGTCAAAACTCTGCAGTAAAGCAGATGCTGTGCATACAAAAGGTCCCAGGTTCTCTCAGTGCCATTTCCAGATAGGGATGAGCAACATTTCTGGCTGAAATGCTGGTGAGCCAATGCCAGGGGAAAGAAACTCTGGTCCAGGGGTGGTGCTTGTTATGGAAAAGATCTGGGGCTTGGGCCCACGGGACAAAGATGTACAAATCTGCATTTATGAATTTACATGTGCTTTAAAGCCTCTCCCCCCCCCCCCCCGTCTTCTAAGAACAGTTCTATTTGTAAAAAGGAACATATGGGCAGAGGAGGGGAAGAGATTTGTTTCTGCAAGAAAGACTCTCAAGCAGAAAGAATCAAGGCAGGAGGAGGCAGCAGAGGAAGTTTATGTGGGCAAAATGCCAGCTAATCCAGGGGAATCAGATGCAACAGAGAGCATCCGGGCCTCCACACCCTTCTTTTCGTGACCATGGGTAGCAGCTTGGTGGTGCAGTTGACTGCCCAGAGATTCAGGGATCTAAATGAAAGATTTGGTGCTCTAGACCTGGAGAGCCATCAGCTCTCACTGCCTCTGCTGAGACCCAGTGCATGAATATGGTCCTCCAGGATTCCCATTTGCCTCAAGTTTTGCTGGTTTGTTGGCTTCCTGGATGTTGTGGAGGTTTTCTTTCCATCTCTAAAGGCGAAATGCTACACTTAAGGCTGTGTTTTAACCTAGAGTATGCTTTTTCTTTCTTTTCTTTTGTATTTTGGCCTATGGCCCTGTCTGCTGCTAAGATGCAGCCCTCAAAAGCTTTTCTGAAATAGAACTTGACCCTTGGTCTGAAAGAGCATCATACCCCTAGGATAGTATTATGCAGCCAGAGGGAAGAGGGCATAACAACACACCAATCCACATTCAAAGCTTTGAGTGTGGGTTTTCATTGAACCATCACTTATGGTTGAAACAAGGCTTATCATGTTGTCTGAACCCAGCTGCAATAACAAACAATTATGAACAACCCAGAGAACTCAACTCAACAACAAATCATGGGTTTTGGGTTGTTCATAGTTAACAAGCCATGGTTTGTTAATGCAGCTGGGTTAAAACAATCTGCTAACCCACATTGAGCAACAGCCTGTAATTCAGTGACAACCCACACTCAGCTTTTGAGTGGGGGTTATCATGTTGTCTGAACCCAATGCAAGACTTGGTATAAGGCAAATTCCTATGTTACTAATTTTGGGCAGTATAGGAATTAAATAAATAAATAAAATAACTTTGCAATAGGTGCCACCTGTCTCCTGACTGGAAATAATCTCTCCTTTAATTGCTGTTGGC